TCGAACTGAACTGTCAGATTGACTAAGTTTAAGGCCAACAGTATTGTAGATACCTATGGCTGCTTGTGTGCATCAGCGTTTTATAACTACTACAAGCAAAACGAAGAGGAAGGTATGTACCTCGTTTACGTCGCTGAGAAGGGGGAGGCCGTTAAAACACCCCCAGAGATAGAACGCGTCGTTGCTAAGTTCCCCGATCTGTTCGAGGAGCCCACAGGAGTTGTTGATAGGGAAGTCGTCCACGCTATAGAAATCATTCCAGGGAGTAAGACCCCAAAGGGAAGGATCTATAGGATGGCCCCTGCCGAGTTAGATGAACTTCGGAAGCAACTCAAGGAACTGACAGAGAAGGGTTGGATTCGGCCTAGTACTTCCCCTTACGGATCACCCGTTCTATTCGTACCGAAGAAGGGGGGTACTTTGAGGATGTGCATTGACTACAGAGGCCTCAATGCCATCACTGTGAAAAACGCAAAGCCTCTACCTCGCATAGACGACCTATTGGATAGGGTGCAGGGATGCAAGTACTATACAAAGATAGACTTGAAATCCGGATATCACCAGATCGCAATAAAACCTGAGGACCAACACAAGACAACTTTTCACACTCGTTATGGTCTGTATGAGTTTGTAGTGATGCCTTTTGGTCTTTGTAATGCGCCGGGTACATTCCAGCACGCTATCAATCGGATCTTCCATGACCATTTAGTTAAGTTTGTCGTAGTCTATCTAGACGACATTCTGATCTTTAGTAAGTTTGCCGAGGAGCACGCACAACATTTTGAGACAGTACTCTCACTCCTACGACAGCACAAGTATAAGGTCAACTTAGAGAAGTGCGAGTTTGGCTGCACTAAGATACTATACTTGGGTCATGAAGCATCCGCGGAAGCGATTAGGCCGTAAGATGCGAAGGTGGCTAGTATTCGAGACTGACCACGACCTCAAACAGTCACTGAGGTCAGATCATTCTTAGGAATGTGCGGCTACTATAGGAACTTCGTCAAGAACTATTCTACAGTCGCCTCTCCTTTCACTGATATAACTCGACTTGACACACCGTGGGACTGGAGTGATGAGTGCGAGGGTACTTTCAAGAGATTGAAGCATGCACTCATGAATCATGAAGTTCTCATGGTTCCCGATCCGCAAAAGCCATTCATAGTGACCACTGACGCAAGCCAATACGGCATTGGCGCAGTGCTGGCTCAGCAGGATGGGAAAAAGTTGAAACCGATTGAGTACATGAGTAAGAAGATGCCATCGAAGAAGTTGGCTAAGTCCACCTACGAAAGGGAACTCTACGCTCTCTACAAGGCACTTGTCCATTGGAGACACTTCCTTCTAGGAAGGTTCTTCTATCTGAGGACTGATCATCAGACCCTCAAATGGATCAAGACTCAACCGGCTCTTTCTGATGCACTCAAGCGATGGATTGAGGTCATAGACCAATATGACTTCAAGCTTGAGTACCTGAAGGGAGAGTATAACAAGGTTGCAGACGCGCTATCCAGTAGAGCATACTACCTAGGTGCGCTAGTTTCTGAATTTGGCGTATCTAACGAAGTGACTCAATCATTGGTGGGAGCCTATCAGGAAGACCCTGTCACGATGGACATCATCCGCAAACTTCAGGCAAAAGACAAGGCCACAGAAAGTGAGTTTGTGATGGTGGATGGGCTAATCTATCTTGATAAGGCCGGAGTAAAGAGATTGGTAGTTCCATCTAGTGAACAGTTGCGTAGTTTATTTTTAGGAGAATGTCATGACGCAACTGGGCACTTTGGCTACAAGAAGACGAGTGCTAACTTAGTACAGCGATTTTGGTGGCCCAGAATGTTAGATGACGTGAAGAAGTATGTTGAGACCTGTTAGGTCTGTCAGCGGGACAAGCCGCGAACTCGAGCACCGCTTGGGTTATTGAAGCCGTTACCTATTCATGATGGTCCATGATTGAGTGTTTCCATGGATTTCATGGACACTCTTGTGACCAGCAAGAGTGGTAAGAGGCACATCTTCGTCATCATTGACTGATTCATCGAGTACGCTAGACTAATACCAATGCCAGAGACAGCCAGGACAGAATACGTCATCAAGTTGTTCAAGGACAACTGGGTAAGGGACTTTGGTTTACCAAAGACCATCATTAGTGACCGAGACGTCCGATTTACAAGTGAGTTGTGGAAGAAGACTGCGGAACAGATGGGCAGTCAACTTCAAATGACTTCAGGGAATCATCCCGAAGCCAACGGACAAGCCGAACAGATGAATAGAGTTGTACAGCACTTGCTGAGGCATTACATCAATCCCAGCCAGGATGACTGGGATGAGCAGTTACCTCTCATCGCCAGCCTGTACAACAATGCTATACATAGCAGTACCGGCGTCAGTCCTAACCAGCTGCACTTAGGATGGAAGCCTAGATCAGCATTAGACTTCCTCCTACCTGAAAACCGACCTGCTGCAACTCCAGGCGCACATGAATACGGTGTGCAATATGAGAAGTTGCTGCAAGAGGCTGTTGAACATATGAAGAAGGCTCAGCAAGCCATGATTGCTTCTGAGAATCAACATCGCAGGCAGTCCACATTTCAGGAAGGGGAACGTGTTTGGGTCAAGGCTAGTGAGTTAGGACAGGAATTCGGAATATCTCGCAAACTAATGCCCCAGTACTTTGGTCCCTGGGAAGTCTTGGATGTAGTGGGAGATGAAATGGATGGTCCTACGTACGTCATTCGTGTCCCTGGTCATCTACGCACTCACCCAGTCTTCCATGCCTCAACGCTTGCACCTTTCGCTGAGACTGATCAATTCCTTCCGGGAGATCGATGCTGCCCCCAACCATGGATGGACAAGTCGACATCGACGACATTGTGGATCACAGGGATATGCCTGTTCCGAAGCCGCTGGGTCGAGGAAGACCTCCTAAACCCAAGAGGGAGTACCGGATCAGATTCAGGCATCATACGGATCCTAAAGAAGATCGGTGGTTTACCCGGGAGGAACTGATGGAAACAGCTCCTCAGGTGGTGGCAGATTATGAACGGAAGTTAAAAGGGAAGGCACCTGCGAAGTA